CAACATCAAAGAAGGCTACATGTTGCATGCTCGTTTCCCCTTAACAAGTCACCTCAATTGCCTCCTGCCTTGTAAGAGGAGATTAATGGAAGAAAAAATCAGTTCAAAAAAATTATATTGATATGGATTGTCTGCTATCTTTTAAGAATAGGACGATGGGAAAGAAGCTCGCTCTTTCAGACGAGTACTTTAAAGCGTGGATGGTTTCTCTTCACTTGCTCTTTATGGTACGCGTTTGCTCTTGTGGGGCGGGGATGATGCTCTGTACTGATATGAAGAAGGGGAGGGTTAAGGAGAATAGGTACTTTAAGTGCGAAAGGATGGAGTGCCGCAAGAAAGTGGGTTCCTATAGCGAAAGTCCCTTGTATGAGGGGCGCTAATGCAGCTTTTCTTCCAGGTTTTCCGACCTGAGAAAGAAGCGAAATATCAGTATAAATGTAACGTCAGTGTAAATGCTCACATACACGCAAAACCCTTTTTCTACCGCTGACGGGAACAAACTACCAACGTACATCCGATGTGCTGCCTCAGTAACCACTGCACCTCACACAACTCGTTCCAGTCACCGCTCCACAAACTATTCTACGCTCTACCGCCTCCTTTGCCTCAGATTGCTGCCCCACGTAACTTAATAACCTATTCTTACAGAAGGTCAAACCCGTCTCACAATAGTTTATAAATCTGCAACTAGAAAGCGCTCGTTTTTGGCATTATAAGGGGACACCCTAGCCCTTAGCCGAGGTTGACACGATCGACATGTCTCCTCGGCTGCTTGAAGCTGCGACGACAGCGACGTCGTTCCAGTCGCAGCTTGCCAGGAAGAGGGGCCTCAAAAGAGGCCTCTTCTCAAATATATATGGGGCCGTCAATCAACAAGAGCTCCCATTTCTTTTCATAACAGTGTGAATTTAGGCACTTAAATACTTTTTTATCAATGCCAAAATTCTAGCTGGGAACTTCATGTTACGTTAAAGACTTCGAAAAAAGTGTCTAGAGTGCAGAAATTCACTAGCAGTGTATTTTGATAAACATGCTTCTGCATTCAGATGAAGCATTTTCCAACTAAGAAATATTCCGTCATCTTCAATTCCGTGTCAACACAGGTTACTGGACTGTACTCCACTTCAGAAATAGACAGTAAATGAAAAATTAGCACCGCTTACCCCTATTACAATGACGAAGTAAAGTTGATTTTACACAACTACTATAAAACCAATCAAGCTACCTAAAAACCTATAAGAAAACTTAAGCAGGCGGTTTGATTTGTATCCAAATCCTGTCAAAACAGATCGATTCAATAAAACAAGCAAACCTGCACTTTTTGTCAAACGAAATTTCTGTAGCCAAAGATACAAAGAAACCGTCCATTATCAGATTTGTAAAATCCAGACTTTTAACTAGAGTCATTATCCTCAAAGCGCAACGCAATTAATTAGAAAATTCATCTCCCCGAACCTTTCACTACTGAAGAGCAACATGCACAATCTGCAGCTCCTCGAAAGTAAGCTAGTTTGACTGCAAAACTCTTCTTTCCTGACTCCACAAACTCACAACTAACAATTCTTCTCAATATGAGACAGATTTTCTAATGCTGTGAACGTTTCTGCAACTTATAAAGAATCAACTAGCCTACAGGCGGTCTGAACATTAGCTATTTTGAAACCCCTGCAGTATCTCACCAGAAGCAAGACAGCGCATACAAACTAGCTGCCTGGAATGCACTTGTTTTCTACTGGCTGGCCTTCGTCATCTGTTCATTGGTGTCGAAAAATCAAACTTTGTTCCCTAAAACCTTTACCCGACAATCAAATCTGATGTTGTTGGAACCACTTTGGAAAGCCTTCCTTGACTATGAAAAAGAACCTGTCCAATCTTGTCGTTTCTACATGGAGAATCGCATTATGATTTGACCTTTGAGCTGACCAACCTGATGCTAAGAAAACGACCATCCACAGCTTTTCACTTTCGAGCTAAATCCCTTATCTCACCAAGCAAAATTGAAATGGAACGCGACAAACTTAAAGCACCACTCGCAACTTCTAAAGACGCAAGGAACCAGTAGCCAGATAAAACCTTTCAACACGTGCTGCTAATAGGTCGGCACATCGCAACTCAATGAGGTTGTCAGTTCATTGCGGTTAAATTGGAAAATTTTTACTTTTTGCTAAAGACTCATACTTCAAACACATCACTTCAGTATCATTTTAATCTATGAAATGCCATCGAATTCGCTTGAAAGACAAATCAAGTGATTGTCACAGTGCCATTTACATAAATGAGAAGTTCACGTAGCATCAAAATAAAATCACAATCCATTTTTACGCCAGTAATCGGCCTTCAAATTATCATCGAGCAGCAAGTCTTCAAAAGCCGGGATGTACAACTGAGAACCGTCCCACTGATATACCTGGAAAATGACTTTATCAGTCGAAAAATTGGTGTAAATCAATTAATTCAGAACGCTTCCCGAAAGAAGACCAACGGTAACTTATACTACCAAAATGAAATACTGCGATCTATAGTCTTCATAACTAGCAATCAAGTTAAAAATAACGTGACTAGAATTCAAAAAAAACTCAAAGAAATCCAACTTCCTTTACGACGTACAGATGTCTTCTCAGAAAACATAGAAAAGACCAACAACACTGAAATGGTCAATCATACTGCTTTTAAAAAAATTTTTAGAAATGCTACATGCATTAGCACATTCCAAAGAAATGTTAAAACACAATAATAATAA